TGCACGGCCATGATACCTGTGGACACCATGGGCAAGAAGCAGCCGCCATCCTGACCCCGTGGTGAGACCCGGGCCAGAGACTGGGAGATAAATCCAACAGGGGTCCAGGGCCTTCTACCTCAGGGACATTCCTGGAGGCCCAGGGTGTGGGGCATGTCTAGATACGTCACCTAAGATGAAGGACAAATTGTGGGCTCGAGCCTAGTGGGCCTCTGCGGACATCCCTCATAGGGGCGTTGCTCCAGCCCGTTCACAGGGTGACCCCCAGAGTTGCTCACTGGGGTCAGAACAAGAGACGGCCTGTCAGCTGACCAGAGGAGCTGACCCCAAGGCCACAGGCCAGGCCAGGAAAGAGAAAAGAGGGGGGCCCTTCCCTGGGATCAGCAGCTCTTATGGTGTGTAGCAGGGCTGGGGCAGTGGGCATTTGGGCCACGTGTTCATGGGAGTTACTCATGCCTCCAGGTCCCATGCAGACCTGGCCACGCACACACCCCTGCCATGGGACGACAGCCTGGTGGCTCAGACCACACACCGACTGTGAGGACCAGTCCGGGCAGCACAGTGACTTGGGGCCTGAGGCCAGGTGTCTAGTCTCTATGAAGGTCCAGAGCTGTTTCTCAGAGGACAGCGGTCACCTGGGGCAGACAGCAGCATCCTGCCCCAAACCCCAGAGGCTGGTGCCGAGGGCTCCCTACAGTACCTCCGTCCACACCGACCCTGCTGGCGCCATGGGCTCTGCTGGGTCCCACGGCCTGGACCTGCCACAGAGCCATGGGTAGGGCAGGTTTCCAAGTGATTTGATATCGAAGCTGAACGGGATGCTAGCCGCTGGGTGGGGGCAATGTGCAAAGTGGCTTGGATTAATCCCGAGGGCCAAGGCATGACCCCACTCACCTCCATAAGGTCTCTCTTGCTCTGAGGCAGTGGACAGAGGGGAGGAGGCAAAGCCAGAACCCAGGAGACCAGGGTGGGGGTGGAGGCAGCATCTGAGGGCAGATGGGGACGTGGCTGGAAAGGTGGCTGTGCCAGCCGAGAGCAGAGGGTGAGGGAGCAGGTGTGAACTCACACACCACTGCCTGAGCACTGGCTGGGGAGGAGACCAGGTGGAGCAATGGGCTCAGGAAAGACAACTCAGCCTGCTTCGAGTTGATTTTAAGGAGCCTGTGGGGTGACCATGGAGTGGTCTAGGAGATGGAGACATGCCTGTCATCCAGCGTAGGGGTCAGCAAGCTATGGCCCAAGGTAGTCTGTTGCCTGCTTTTGTATGCCCACAAGCCAGGAGCACTTGTCACGTTTTAGATGGTCAAAAAAAAAAAAATTAACATTCATTATCTACTACCAAAAAACTTACTCAAAACTCCAGAGAGTGACAGGTGTTGGTGAGGATGTGGACACCAGAACTCCCGTGCACCGTTGGTGCAAACATGGACTGGGGCAGCCAGTCCGGAGCTCAGTGTGGAGGGGCCTCAGAAAGCTTAAGGGAGGGTCATAATGGGATCAACAATTCTACTTCTGGATGTACCCCCCAAACAAGGAACTGCGGGGTCTGGGAGAGATGTGTCCACACTCGTTCACAGCAGTGTCCTTCACAACTGCTACAAAGGGGGAGCTGCCCAAGTGTCCACTGAGGACAAATGCACAAGCAAAATGTGGCCCATCCGTACAAAGCCTGAAAATAGCAGGACATTCTGACGTCTGCCACAACGTGGACAGACCTGGAGGACATCATCATACTGAGTGGAAGAAAAGGGCACAAAAGGGCAAATGCTGCAGGATTCTATGTATTGGGGGACATAAAGTTGTCAAACTCACAGAGACAGAAAGGGGCATGGTGGGCGCCAAGGGCTGGGGGAGGAGGAATGGGCTTACCGACCCCTGCTGGATTTCTCAGGCATGGAGTTTCAAGAGTGGGCAGAGCCTGGGAGAGTGCCAACCAGCCAGCGAGGGTGCCAGGGTGAGGGCAGAACCCCGACAAGGCAGCACGCTTGTGTGTGCAATTTTACTGACGGCTTTATTGTGACAGAACCCGCATACCACCCAGCGCATCCATTTACAGTGTACAGTTTGGAGCACCGGGGCACTGCAGTCCATTAAACGTCTGACTCTTGGCTTTGGCACAGGTCGTGATCTCTGGGTCCTGAGATCAAGCCCCACGATGGGCTTCACACTCAGTAGGGAGTCTCTCTCCCTCTGCCCCTCTCCATACCCTCTCTCTCTCTCTCAAATAAATAAAGGAATAAAATCTTTAAAAATAAAGTGTGCAGGGGTGCCTGGGTGGCTCAGTGGGTTAAGCCTCTGCCTTCTGCTCAGGTCATGATCCCAGGGTCCTGGGATCAAGACCCACATCAGTCTCTCTGCTCAGTGGGGAGCCTGCTTCTCCATCTCTCTCTACCTGCCTCTCTGCCTACTTGTGATCTCTCTCTCTCTCTCTGTCAAATAAAAAAAATAAAGTGTGCAATTCATAGGTTGTTAGCACATTCCCAGGGTTGTGCAACCATTTTAAAACATTTGCACCATCTAGAAAGAAGCTCCACACCCTTTAGGTTGTGCTCTGGGAAATCAGAGCCAGCCGCAATGTGCAGGAAGGGGGCCATGTGGAGCGCATGACCCTGCCACCCAGCCTTCCTGCTGCCCTCCAAGCTGATCCCCCAGTTGAATGCAGCTACAGCAGCCGGCAGAGGCACCACCACAAAATCCTGAGAAATACGAAATCATCGGGGTGGCCACTGGAACCAGAGGAGTCCCTTGTGTGGGAACAGGTACCTGAGGGTCTCCAGGCTCCTGAGGCAGAGCCCAAGCCCAGGCAAGGATTACCAAGAGCCCGTTTGCGGGATTCTGGGGTTTTCCCTTTGATGTGGCATCCATCTCCAGCTGGGGTTTGCCAACTGGCCATGGGGGAAGGGCAGGGGGTTTCTGACCAGAGAGAGGAGCCAAGGCTCCTGTCCTGCACAGGGAAGAAGGCTGAGCCGCCTGGAGTCAGAGTCCAGGCCCGATCTCTGCCTGGATTGCTCCACAGGCCAGAGGTGTGACTGTGGACACAGTCCGTGTCTTCCCTGAGACAGCTTCCTCCGACAACAATGGGGCCCTATCCCTACCTGGCCCCGGGCAGGTGCTAGCCACCAGGTCACACCCAGAGGACAGAGTGGCAGGAAGGCCAAGCAGATTTGTAAGCAGATCTTGCTGAGTAACTGGAAGCCAGTGGACACCACAAGGCCCCCAGGGGCTCCCTGGGGAGGAATCCAGGGGCCTCTCCCCAGCAGGAATGGGAAGTGGCTCCAGACAGAACTCCTTTCCCAGCAGACCTCGCCCTGGAGGATCTGGTCACCTTCGGCAAAACCCAGCAGGGCCCAGCCACTGGGCAGGCCTTCCCCTGCAGTGGGGCGGATCCAACTCTCCCACTGAGGGTTCATTCTGCACCTTCCGCGGTCCCTGCCCCTCAGACCCCTACATTCCTCCCCATCTGTCAGGGAGAAACGCTTTTGTCTCTCCTGTCTTGGGAGGCAAGGCAGCTTTCCTGAAACCTTCTCCCACGGGCCCAATCTCTGCTGTGGGGCGGGAGAGGGAGGTCCCAGCCAGGGCTGGGGGGCTGAGGAAGACGGAGCCAGGGCCACGATAGCGGGTCGGCACCAAAGGTGAGGGGTCGCAGCGTAAGGGGCCAGGAAAGCAGAACGGGGTGGGGGGTGGGGGGCCGGGCGGGGAAGATTAGGGGAGTATGCGAAAGGAAGCCGCGGGGCAGGGCAAAGGCTGACTGCCGCTGGGGTCCACAGCAGCTGCTGCAAACCTCCAGACCGCCCCCCACCCAGATTCCGGGCTCCCCAAGGCTGGGGCACCTGGAAACCCCAGGCAGAAGGTGTGCGCGCGGGGTTGGTGGAAAGGCGCCCCAGGAACCTGAACTCTCCACCCCAGCGCAAGCACTTCTCCAATCCTGTCCTGCCCAAAGGGCCGCAGCACCCTCTCCCACGCTCCGCAGAGGAACACGCAGGTGGGCGGCGGGGCGCGGAGCAGGTGTGTTCGCGGGGAAGCGCCAGGCAGCACCCAGCTTTGTGAGCGACGCTCCGCGAGCCACGCGCCGGGCGGGCGGGCGTACGCGCTTCCTCTCTGGGCCCGGACTAAGGCCACACCCTCCGCGTTGGCTGAGACCCTGGCCCCCGCCCCCTGGGACGCGGCGGGTGGGGTGGGCTGGGTGGGGTGGTGGCGCGGGGACAGAAGGCGCGGCGCGTGCCGCCCCCGGGGGTCTCCCGCGCCTCAGGGATAGCTGAGCCTTCGCGAGGTCCCGCCCCCCCCCCACGGCGCGCGCTGCGTGTGCGGATGATCCACAGCTCTGGGGATAGCGGGCTGGGCGCGGGGGTGCTGGGTGCGGGTACGGGACAGTTGCACCCGGCGCATGTGGACTCAGCTCAGGCAGCGGGGTCGCGCCGGAGACATACTGACAGCGCCCGGAGGTCGGGCGGGGGCGCACAGGGGACCTGTGCACTGCGTCTTGGGGGGCTCACTAAGCACCTGTTGGGAGCTCGGGTCCCACCCGGGCCCTGCAGACTCCGCCCGGAGAGATGGAGTGGGGGACGCGCTCACGCCCTGCTGTTTGCAGGTTGTGTGCGCAAGGGGGAGGGCGAAGCGTGGCGGGAGGGCGAGGCGAGGGAAGGAGGGCCTGAGAAAGGAGGCGGCGGCGGCGCGGAGGAGGGTTATCTATACATTTAAAACCAAGCCGCCTGCGCCGCGCTGGGAAGACCCGGGGAGCGTCCGGCCGCACGCGCGGGACACGAGCGCCCCACGCTCCGAGGCGCGCACGGCCTGCCACCTCCTGGCCTCCTGAGCCTCGCTGTCCCTGGGCCCCAGACGACCTGGAGCGCGTGCCCTGGGGAGTCCCTCTGCGGCACAGTGCTAGGGCCTCCCTCGGGGTTCTGTCGTCCTCCCACCGGCCCCCACCCGCGTCCTCTGTCTGCCCCTCCTGCTGCGCGCGGGGGCTCGGAAGAGTTGCGGGACGAGTGGATGCGGGCGCGATGGACAGCGGCGCGCTGCCCGGGCCCGCGCCCTCCGCGCCTGGCGTCTCGGGCGGCTGCGTCCCTCGGCGGCGACCCACATCCCCAGAGCTGCTGCGCTGCAGCCGGCGGCGACGGCCGGGCGCGACGGAGACCGGGGGTGGCGCGGCGGCCGTGGCGCGGCGCAATGAACGCGAGCGCAACCGCGTGAAGCTGGTGAACTTGGGGTTCCAGGCGCTGCGGCAGCACGTGCCGCACGGCGGCGCCAGCAAGAAGCTGAGTAAGGTGGAGACGCTGCGCTCGGCCGTGGAGTACATACGCGCGCTGCAGCGCCTGCTGGCCGAGCACGATGCTGTGCGTGCCGCGTTGGCCGAGGGGCTGCTGGCGCCAGCCGCGCGCCCCCCCGCGTCCTGCGGGCCCCCCGGGACCCCTGCCACCGCCCTAGGCTCGCCTTCTTGCGCTTCGTCGTCCCCGGGCGGCGGGGGCAGCTCGGAACCCGGCTCGCCGCGCTCCGCCTACTCCTCGGACGACAGCGGCTGCGAGGGCGCGCTCAGCCCGGTGGCGCGCGAGCTGCTCGACTTCTCCAGCTGGTTAGGGGGCTACTGAGCGCTCCGCCCCCGAGGTAACCTCCGGCGGCAGGGAACTGGGGGGTTGGCGCAGGGCAGCCGGGCGGGGTGGAGTGGACAGCCTCGAGGCTAGCGTCCCCGAGAGCAGCCAAGCGCAGCGCCAGGCCCGGGTGGCGGCTTTGATTCCGCTCACTCTTCATTTTCCCCAAACTTTTTCAAGCCTGTGCAAGACCAGCGTTTGTTTGTCCGGGATTGCAAAACTTCCTCTCGCTGCTGCGCAGAAGGTGGGGGGTGGTGGTGTGGGGGGGCCTCTGGCGGGTGAGGCCCCGAGTGCACGCGGATCCTGGGGCAGAGCAGGGCGCTGGGAGGCGGGGTGACTTTGCATTGCAAATCGCGCGCCCGGGCCGGGTGGCAGAAATGAGTCGGCCGGTGCGGAGCCCTGACTCACTGCGGCTCTGAGAGCGCGCCCCGCCCCCAGCCCGGCCGGGGCCACAGACAGAATCCGAGGCACCCACGGACTCACGCTCTAAAACCCACCAAGCAAACGAAACTGCAGACTTGGCTTGTGGGCGGTGGGGCCCGGCCAGATCCCGCACTAATGCGCGTCCCCGTCCGCCCTCCCCTCCCAGCAGCAGCCCTGGACTCGGAGCGGCCAGCAAGCTCACCACCTGGGAGCCAGGTGGGTGGCCCGCGCCTCGGGCCCACTGTCCCTGCGGGTGAAGCTACGACCGAGCCAGGACTCCGCCGACAGGTCGCCTGTGCCGCCCAGCCTGACCAAGTGCGCACGTGGAAAGGGTCCCCGTCTGACCCCGCCCAGCTGGCAGCTTCCTCAGACCCCCCACCATCCTGCCCAGGGAGGTTCTCCACTGGGATAGGGCTGGGGCACCAACACGCAGGTTTCTGGAGGGGAGAGGATTTTATAACTATGCAGAACTTCTCTGTTTTGCGTATTAGTTTGAACTACCCAGGAACACCCGCCATATGAAGACTTATTTTTGTACCAAAAAAATCCCCAGACTTGGAACACAATAAAGATGTCTACTCCCGCCCCACCCCACCACTGGCATTTTCCAACCAGGCCAAGATCTGGACACCCGCTGCCCCTGAGGGGCTGTGTCCCTGGGAGGCGTCCCCTTGCAGTGGCTGTGCGGATGGAGGGATGGCTCCCGCTGAGGACCAGACTTTGTGGGAAACCTGTTTAGGGCAGGCGGACTTCACAAATAGATCAGTGCTGTGTATCTGGTGTTGGGGGTGCCCTCTTCATGCCCTGAGGCCCCCATTTCCCAGGTGAGGGCAGGGCCTGGGTGAGACGGTGGGACCCAGCGGATGGGGTCACCTCTCCCTGTACCCTGACCCCTGCTTTGTGGGGTGGGGCCAGAGGTGTGAGGTCTGGGGGTCCAGCCTGGTCACCACTGCCCCAAAGCAATTCACCTTGTGGGGCAGGGAGCTGGTGACTGCCCAGCCGGGAGGCCGAGGTCTGGGGCACTGCTACATGAGGGTCTGGCACCCGGGGAGGTCTGAGCTGTGGGAAGGGTGAGGGCTGCCTTGTTCAGATCCCCGCTGCTCACCACCAGCTGGGTGGCCTGGGCAAGTCCCTCGACACACGAATGGGGGGTGACCGCAGAGCTGCCCCATGAGGCTGTGGGAGGATTTGGGTGGTGGCCCTTGGGTCTAGAGCCCTGTGCTAGGCCCCCTGGCGCCCGGGCCTGAGGCTTCTGCCCACCTCTGTTTACTGGCTTCTTGAGAAGAACAAGGAAACCGCCCCCACGCCGGCCCCCGGCCCAGGCTCCCCCAGCCAAGAGAGCCTGCAGAGATCACTCAGCCCTACCTTTGACCGGGCCCGAGCACTTTGAAGTCTGGCTGGGCCCAAAGCTCTCCTTTATTGCAGGGGTGGGGTGGGGCTTGCGGGGATCCCCCAGGCTGCTTTAGGGTGCTAAGAGCACCCCATCCTTTGAAAGGGAGTGGTTGGGTCAGAGCCGTTGGAACCCCTGGGAGGTGCAGCCACCAGTGTTGGCAGACAGCAGGTGGCTCGGGGTGACCATGGTGACGGGGTCATGGTGACAGGGTCGGCGGGTCTGAGGAGGCTCAGCCTGGGCCACAGTCACCAGAGCAGGTGTGGCTCAGGGCTGCAGGGCTGAGAGTGACCAGGCCTCATCCAAGGGACGGAAGGGGGGCACCCCACACCCTTTCCTAGGGACCCACTGCCTGCTCAGTGACCTCACTGAACCACAGGTCCTGGGATTCCTCACCTTAACCCCGGGGACAGGCCTGGACAGAGGGTGGTGGGGAGCATGGGAAGCATCACACCTGGGTCAGGGAGGAAAGCTTGGGAGAATGGGCCCCTCGGCCGCAGGCCTGAGCTGGTGCTGTTAGGAGACTCTGCAAACCATAAGTGTTATCACCTTCGTTTTGCTGTTATTCTGGACAAGTCCAAACATATGCAAATGTTCTAAAACCCTTATTGGACACCGTCTCTGTACCAGGAAGTGGCAGGAACTCCCACGAGGGCACACAGCAGTGTGGGTGAGTGTGTGGTCAGACCGGCTGGTGATGGGGTCCCAGATAAGCCTCGGGGAAGCTTCCATCACCCACGTCCACACGGGACACAGGCCGCCCCGCCCCCACGCACCCCGCCTCTCCCGCCCCCACATGGCTTTGAAGCAAATCCCAACCTCCCATGTGGGCTGGGAATTCTTCATGTGGGCCTCTAAGGGAAACCCCAGAACCGCTTCCCGCTCCCCGCTCGGTGAATGGTCCCTTTGGGGGGACATACCCGCTGGTCTCCCACAGCAGGTCTGGAGCGGCAGGACCGCTGGTGGGACGTGCTGAGTGGCCCTGCTGGCCTCTGTCAGCCTTGTCCATGGAGGGCACGAGGCCGCTGCTCAGCTCTGTGTCCCGTCCCAGGATGGGACACCCAGGATGGGAGTCCCCGGTGCTGCCCACATGGATGTTACTTGTCACGTGTCTGCGTCCGTATTTCTTGTCCGGGAGGGGGAGGGGCTCCGAACCAGACAGATGGCCAGGTTCACACGCGCCCTTAGAGGAGGTGCAGTGTGTCCCCACCTCGCCTCCGTGGGCAGACACGCCTGCGGTGACCAGATGGGGTCACTAACCGGGCAGGGGCTGTAGCCGGCTCTCAGCCTGGACACCAGGCGTGTCCCCTGGATGTGCTGGCCTGTGCGCTCACCCCAGTTGGGGGTCCCCATCCGTCCTTCCCCGAGGGCCGAGCACTGCTCCACTGTGCGGGGCCAGAGCAGCTGAGCGCCTGGCGTCACAGAGACTGAACACGGTGGGAATCCGATCCGAACCCTGGGCGGCTTCGTCTCTAAGCCTCACTCTTGCCTTCCTGGAGGGTGTGGCAGCAGGGGCCGTCCTGGGGACAGCACCGCAGCCCAGGAGCCCTGGTCCCCACTTGGGCCTGGGTCTGCAGGAGGGGTGGGTTCCAGGGCTCTGCCAGGAGCCCGCAGCCCAGGCCTTGCATCCCACTGGAGGGTGGGGCTGATTCCTGACCAGGGGCCAGAGGGTGGGGTTAGCTTGGGGACCCCACTTGATAAGATGGGGGGTTGAAATGGTGCTTTGGGACCAGAGATAAAGCTGGACACCCTTACTCGGGTGCCCGCACAAAGTCAGACTCGGTGGACTCTGGACCAGGCAGGGCTGGGACCACACAAGGGGCGAGACATTCTGGATGACCAGCCCCCCAGGGAGCTTTCACTGGGGGTCAGTCTGTTGTTCCTGTCTGCTCACAACAGCGGCCACCCCAAGGAGTCCTGCCTTCCTGTCCTTGGGGGCGTGTCTCTGGCCCAAACTCACCCAGTGGCTTTGCCCTGACCATGTCAGAAAACAGATGTACAGGGGGCACCTGGGTGGCTCAGTTGGTTGAGCATCTGCCTTCGGCTCAGGTCATGATCCTGGCATCCAGGGATTGATCCCACATTGGGCTCCCTGCTCAGCAGGGAGTCTGCTTCTCCCTCTGACCCTTATCCCTCTCATGCTCTCTCCCTTTCTCTCTCTCTTTCTCTCTCCAATAAATAAATAAATAAATAAATATTAAAAAAAAAAGAAAAGAAAAGAAAAGAAAACAGATGTACGGGGGCTCTGCTGCCCCAGGACTGTCCCGAGGGTGGTGGGTCAAGTACAGAGGTCCAGGCATCCAGGCTTCCCTTATCCGGCCCACCCGGTCCTGCTCCCATTCATTCCAAAAGCTTCATTGGGCACCTTCTCCTTCTAAGGACCTTAGGACAGACAACGCGCCAAAGGGCAGCCCCGCCCTCATGGACCCTACATCCCAGTGGGGGACATGGTATCTAATCCACAAGCAGCACGATGGGTCGGTCATAATGCTGGCCAGTGATGGACGCACTGGGTCCCTTGGGGAAGGAGTGTGCCATGGGTCCCTGGGGACACTGTTCCTGGGCACGGGAATGGGACGGACTCACATATGGCAGGAACGCACGTGTATTCTGTCCCCTTGACCTTCACCAGCAAAAACGTTCAAAGGTGAAAAGATTGAGACTTTCAACCAGCAGCCAGAGAGCGTGGGATCCTACCTGGCACCAGGCCCGCACATCTGCAGATCTCCAATCCCCGGGGCCAGTCCTGGAACTGCCCCTCAGAGCTGGGGCCAGTGGGGCCTCATGGAGAGGCAGCAGGCACTGGGGTCCTGCTCCGCGAACGAGATCCCCCAGACAGCGCAAGATACTGCACTTGGCCCTGGAGGGAGGGCCCAGCAGCTCTGCCAGGAGCGGGACCCCGGGCGGATGCACTCGCCTTTCCTCCACCCAGAGAGGCAGCAGCTTAGCTGGGTCCAGAAGCAGGCTCACCCGTGGTGAGCCCCTGGCCGGAGCTGGACCAGAGGACCTGTCTCTCACCCCTGGGGGGCACTCAGTGACATCAACCCTTGTGTGTGCACAGTAATGTGGGGGAGCCTTGAGAGGGAGGAGGGAGGGAGGAAGGAGGGAGGGAGGCTGTGCAGGTGCATGGCTTCTGGGGAGCGGGAGGCCCTCCACAAGGGCTGGGATGGTGTCTTCCCAGCTTCCA